AACATGGTTATGGGGAATATTTCCGCAATAGTTATAATTGAAAAATATTAAATCGTAAAAATTATATTGGCTGACTCTTTTCTGGTCACATTCGACCTTTATTAAACTTTCGCCATTGTTAAATTAAATTAGCTCGAACTTAATTAATCTGGCAATGGCTCAAGTTGTATTATTCTAGAATATCAAAAAATATTGCTTCTTTTCCGAGACCCTTATAACCATGTTCCTTTTGTGCTACGAAGAAATCATTCATAACTCTTTTTTAAACATCACTTTTAGTTTGCAAAATTAAGTAAAGAAAAAAAATATTTGTGACTTTGCAGCAAAAATAAAAAAAAGTAATGTTTGTGGCAAAAAAATAAACCTGAATCAAGGTTGTTGTATTGGTGCGATAGCTTTTGTGTTTCTTAAGTCTCGTGTTTCGTTAAAGTAAGTTAACAGAAAAGTTATACATTTTTTTGTTAGTATAAAACTTATTTAGTGCTATAACAATAGACATATAGAGAGTCTTCTTAAAAAAAAAAAAAACATAATCCATGTTCTTTTTGTTTAGATGAGGGTGGGAAGGGATTTTCTTGGGATATTAATAAATACATAATTATAATAATAGTTATAAATGGCAGTTAGTACATAGTCGAGAGAGAGAGAGTTGTAGATTTTGTGTCCAATAATAACTTTGGCGTTTTTTCGTTTTCTAAATAATTTTTTTGTATACATAATTTATTTTCTTATAATATAAATAATATATTGCAATAATAAATTATACAAAAATTATTTGTATTTGTTTTTTGCAACACAGTTACTTCTGAAAAACTGGAGGGACGGACCAATGGGGAGAAAATCTTGTGGCAAATTATGTTTAGCCTTTTCTATAGAAAATGTTTATAGCGCCCAACAAAGATTTTCCATAGAAAATCATGTGGCGCCCAACGTTTAGCCAAGGATTTTCTATAGAAAATATTTGAGGCACCCAGCGTTAGCCAGGGATTTCACATAGAAAATCTTGTGGAGCTCAACGTTCAGCCAGGGATTTTCTACAGAAAATCTTGTGGCGCCCAACGTTTAACCACGGATTTTCAACGTCAGACCAACGAGTTTTTTCAATTAAATTTTGGTTATTTGAAAAAAATAAATTATATAAAGGTCGGACAATGGTCTTATATGGGTCTTGGGTTCTGAAAGGTTATGAAATGGCTGTGAAAAGCTTGAGGTGGGCAGAAAATCTTGTGGTGCCCAACGGATAGCCCAGGGATTTTCTATAGAAAATCTTGTGGCGCCCAACGGATAGCCCAGGGATTTTCTATAGAAAATCTTGTGGCGCCCAACGGTTAGCCCAGGGATTTTCTATAGAAAATCTTGTGGCGCCCAACGGATAGCCCAGGGATTTTCTATAGAAAATCTTGTGGCGCCCAACGGTTAGCCCAAGGATTTTCCATAGAAAATCTTGTGGCGCCCAACGGTTAGCCCAAGCATTTTCCATAGAAAATCTTGTGGCGCCCAACGGTTAGCCCAAGGATTTTCCATAGAAAATCTTGTGGCGCCTAACGGTTAGCCCAAGGATTTTCCATAGAAAATCTTGTGGCGCCCAACGGTTAGCCCAAGGATTTTCCATAGAAAATCTTGTGGCGCTCAACGGTTAGCCCAGAGATTTTCTATAGAAAATCTTGTGGCGCCCAACGGTTAGCCCAGAGATTTTCTATAGAAAATCTTGTGGCGCCCAACGTTTAGACAGCGATATCCCGTAGAAAATCTTGTGGCGCCAAACGTAACCACGGATTTTCTGAGAGGTTCTGAAATGGGTTCTGAATAGCTTGAGGTGGAGAGAAAATCTTGTGGCGCCCAACGGTTAGCCCAGGTATTTTCTATAGAAAATCTTGTGGCACCCAACGGTTAGCCCAGGGATTTTCTATAGAAATTCTTTTGCGCCCAAAGCTCAAAATCGGCTGAAGATAAATATAGAAGCTATATCCAAATCTGAACCGATCTTTATAAAATTTGGCAGAGATATTTCTGGGCTGTATCGGATATGTGGTACCAAATATCATTGTTGTCGTATGCATTTTACGAATGTGAGGGACTTAAACCCCAAATCGGATGAAACATTTGTATGGGAGCTATATCTATATCTGAACCGATTTTCATCATATTTGATTTACTTGCTTCTAAACTAAATTCGGCGGGATTTACCAAAAAACAGGTCATTTGGACTTATTTTGTTCATTTGGAGCACAATTAACCCGAAATCGGTTGAAGATATATATGGAAGCTATATCCAAATCTGAACCGATCTTTATAAAAATTTGGCAAAAATATTTCAGGGATGTAGCTGATATCTGGTAGCAAATATCATTCTTGTCGAACGCATATTACGAATGTGAGGGACTTAAACCCCAAATCGGATAAAACATATATATGGGAGCTATAGCTATATCGGAACCCATTTTCACCAAATTTGATATACTTGCTTCTAGACTGAATTCGGTTGGGTGTGCCAAAATTCAGGTTATTCGGACTTATTTTGGCCATTTGGTGCCGGTTGAAGATATATATGGTTGACCAACATGTCCATCTGACTACTAATTAATTTATTAATTATGATTTGAAAAATATGGTCTGCATATGGTCTTAGAATGAGTTTTGGAGAATAAATGTCGTTTCATATTTTATAATAGATCTTGATCCAGTCCCTGCTTTTCAGACACACTATGTTAAATTGTAATATTATATGTTTTTTTCTTATTTTTGTAAAAAAATAAACTTAAATTTTATGGCGCTTAAATAAAATATATGTATATGTTGTTCTTTCCCTATATAATGTATATAATAATGCATTATTTGTAAACAATTGTAATTTCATTAATTTTAATCGATTAAAGCAATATTTTGTTTGTTTATTTGTTTGTGTCTTCTAAGAAATGTGTGCTTTCATTGCAAAATTTTTTTTTAGTAAATTCAAGTTTATAAACCCTGGGGCTACAAGAAAGAAACACAAAGTCAAATCGAAATCAGATTTATAAAGTGAGTTGGAAATACTTTTGTATTCCGGCATTTTCCCTAAGTACATGTCAAGTTACGTTCATTCACAATTTCTTTAATTAATGGAAATAGGTGGGTGTAAGTACAAAGGGACATCTCGAATTAAACAAAGCAGCCAAAAAAGCTGTAAGTTCGGCCTGGCCGATCTTTGAATACCCTCCACCATTTGAAAAGATTTTGGCAATTTTAAAAAAAATATAAAATCTGTTAAAAATTCTGTTATAATCTTTATATTAGGGTCTATACGACGACGTGGACCTGCATAGGCAACTTTTGTCATAAGCTATTACAATATTCAAATGCGAAACTAAAGTCATCAAAATTCCGAATATAGGGAGGTACCGTTATATTAGGCCTGAACAGACAATTTTCTGTCATAGGCTGTAGTATCCATTACGAACTTTAAGTACCAAATTTGAAACAATTCCGGTGAATAATGTCGCTAAAATCATCAAAATACCGAATATCAGGGGGTATTGTTATATGGGGGCTATTCGAAGACTTGGACTTGCACAGTCAATTTTCTGTCATAGGCTGTAGTACCCATTGCGAACTTCAAATACCAAATTTTAAACAATTCCAGTGAATAATGTCGCTAAAATCATCAAAATACCGAATATCGGAGGGAATCGTTATATGGGGCCTATACGAAGACGTGGAGCTGCATAGACAATTTTCTGTCATAGGCTGTAGTACCCATTGCGAACTTCAAATACCAAATTTGATACATTTCCGGTGATTAATGTCGCTATAATCATCAATATACCAAATATCGGAGTGTATCGTTATATGGGGGCCATACGAAGACTTGGACTTGCACAGAAAATTTTCTGTCATAGGCTGTAGTACCCATTACAAACTTCAAATGCCAAATTTGAAACGATTCCGGTGAATAATGTCGCTAAAATCATCAAAATACCGAATATCGGAGGGTATCGTTATATGGGGGCTATATGAAGACTTGGACTTGCACAGACAATTTTCTGTCATAGGCTGTAGTATTCATTACGAACTTCAAACACCAAATTTGAAACAATTCCAGTGAATAATGTCGCTTAAATTACCAAAATACCGAAAAATGGGATGTACCATTATATGAGGGCTATACCAAAACGTGGACCTACATCACCCATTTTCAATACCAAAAGTCCTGCAGACAATATATATATTTGAGTAAAATTTTATCAACCTACTTCATTTCGTTCGGAAGTTAGAGTGATTTCCACAGTCGAACAGACGGATAGACGGACGGACATTGCTAAATCGACATAGAGGGTCTAAAATGTACATTTCCAGGTGTTACAAACGGAATGACAAACTTATTCAAATCCCTGAATGAATTTTTTTTAGTCAAAGTTTTTTTTTAGAAATAACTTCAGCGATACATTTTTAAGAAGTTGCTGAGCTAATACATCTTTAGTTCTCTTAATTTAGCCATTGAATATTTTGTTCTCTGACATTTATTGCTGATAATGAAGTTTCTTGTAGCTAACGAGACAATTTATTCAATAGGTCTTGTTCAAGGCCTCATTAAACAGAACTTGGTTGTCGCCAAGACTCCAAGATAGGAATAGTTTAGTAGACTTCCATTCAAATTATAAATCAAAATTTTACGTTTTAATTTTACCGATTCTTCGGTAAGAAAAATAAATTAACAGCATTGCTAGCATAACTGAATAATATCTTCATTTTATAAATCGTTTGAGAAACTCATTATTTGTCCTTCATTATACAAAGTATGAATTCTAAACTCACTTTTTTCGTTACTGATTTTCTTCAATTTCAAAAGTAAATTCTAGTAGCCCTGTGTTTAATATTAGCTGGTTTAGTTTTGTTTTTCTATTTTTCAATTTGACGACAATTTTAAGCATTGCTAGGTTTTTTTTAATAAACGACAACATTGTTGGCAAAAGCTTAAAGCTTCATCGAATGCTTTCAAGCTTTGGAGTAATGTCAGTTACTACTTGATTTTCGTTTTTTTCTGTTTTTCTTGTAAAACATCTATCTAAACTATGCTAAGTGGTTATGAATCGTAATGTATCCCTTACTTGTCCTGCGAAGGGGTAGGAGGGTGGGTCTAGTAACTCTGTTATTTTAATGATTTTTTGTTTTCAAAAATGTCATGCCGAGGATGATTAAATGCATCATTCTTTCGTTTATTTTGCTTTTCCTCCTTTTCTTGTTTAGAAGAAATAAAAAGCCTGCTCTCATTTGGGTGTTTCTGGAGGTGCTGTGGCATTGCCGAAAAGTTCTTCATAGGAAGGAGCTGTAATAAAAAAAAACAAAGCAATTTTGAAAAATATCCAAACTGTTATAAAATTTTCTCTAAAACTCACGTAATTCATGGGCTCCCGGTGGTGGTCGCATTGCCATATATGTCGATGACGACACCGAGGCATAGTGTGCACTTATCTGCGCTGTGGCTGCCGTTGGCGGTGGTGGTGTTGGTGTTGCACTTGGTGTCAATTGATTATTGGCCTGTGGCATTAAGCTATACTGTGGTGAATCGGACAATGGATATGGTGGCATGTGTGCAGCTGGCGGTGGATATGAACTAATCATGAGTGGACTACTTGAATAAGGCATATATGGTACATTGGTATTGCTACGTATGCTAGCCCGATTGAGGGGACTATTGAATTGTGACGAAGAACCCGAAGTGTAGGAGAGAGCCGTGCCACCCACAGCAGGACTAAGGGTAGCTGCCGATGAATCGGATGTTGTGGAATGCAGTGAACTTGATTCGCTGCTATACTGTGAGGAGTGTGATGGCGAGCCAATGGAATTATCCAATGGTGGATACATTGTTACCGTGGAAGTTTCAAAAGGATTACCTGCCCCGCTCATATTTAGCGGTACGCCACCGCCACCTTCCGGTGGCATTGGGGGTTGGGGTGGTCTTCTCACCGACGCCTCAGTCTCATTGGTGTACATTTTAAAAGGCATATTTAATACAAGATTTTTAAAGAAGCCCCTCAGGACGGCCTCCACCCTTAGTTCATAGGAAATATTTATTACACCCGATAGCTCATCATCGCTGGGTTGCACCGTTTCGGGTATCAACAATTCATGGGCAAAGGAACGTTCACTTTTCTTGTGTACCGAACCGGTTTCTTTATTTGCCACCGGGATTATTTCCACCTTTTGGACCCGCAATGGCAGGTGGCTGTAATAGCAAATATATTGGAGCACACAAAAGCGTAACTTTTCCACATTGGTGCCACTGTTGTTGGTGACGGTAACACATATCCTTAAGGGTTCTCCCCGCACAGCAAAATCTTCCGGCAACAAAGCCAACATGGTAATGGGTCGTGAACCAAAAAGGCTAATGGTTTTGGTAATTTGCTTTTCCAAGGGTGTAGGCTGCAAGCGATACATAGGTGGTAAGGGCATATTCTTCATTACCGTAACCGGTATTGAATGGCGTTCGTCGAAAGACCATGGCCTTTGTATGAGTATACGTAGTTTATATTTAATTGATCCATGACTACCTTTAAAACTCGAAGGTAAATTCCATTCCAATGGCATGGAAAAATCGAATGTATGCTCTCCGGGACTTAGTTCAATGCCTCGTGGCTCAAATACCGATAAGGGTATTTCATTGTGGGCATAGATTTCTTTGCTCGAATAGAAGAGACTGCGTGTCGATTCATTGTTGGAATTCGAGTTTTTACGCAAGATTTCCATCCATTTGCATTTTCCCTTGCCTGTTATTTGGACTTTGATGGCTGCAATGGGAGATAAAAAAGAGGTAATTATTAATACTGGGAAAAATATATTAAATATTTTATTTAAATATTTAAAAGGCCCGCAAGACATAGCTTTATTTACTTTTTGTTTCGCTGATAAAGTCTGGGGAACCAACTTCATGTATATCTTAAAAAGTTGATTTCAGATTATAAACCTTGTGCAACATTTATATTACTGAATAAATTGAATAATATTAAATATTATGTTAAATATTATTATTATTTATATTAATATTTTTAATATTTTATTGTTGAAATATAAATTTGGCGCTAACTTTTGTTTTATCGGCAATTCAAGGCGTCATAGTCGACTATTGTGAATGATTTTAACGGCTGTTGAGTGTAACACAAAAAAGAGAGCGAGAGAGCTAACACATTTAAGGCCCACTCGTATTGTTATTTAAATAATGAAAAATGCGGTTAAAAGACCTTATCATTCTCCAAATAAAGTATTAATTGCTCAGCAATTGCGTTGTTTATTTTAATACCCTTCATTATTCTTTTTATTTCTTCTTCTTACTCTCTTTGGTCATTCACATTAGCTATTAAACACTCAAAAGGCCTAGTTGGCGTTTTTTTCCTTGTTGCTCATGTTAGCATCACTCTTTGAGATTGACAAACCAGACAACAATAAGAAGAAGAAGAACAGCAGCATTCTTGGTTGAACAAGGCAAAGCAGACGGCAAGCAATTGTGTAGTGAAGAAAAAATTATGATTTTTGATACGGCAAAATAATAACCAAGGGTAGGTAAAACAAAAAAGTAAGTATTGCAAATATTATTTTAAATTATCAAGAAGCTAAAAGAACTATTGTGCAATCGAAAAACAATGCTAAAAAAATAAAAAGAAACCAACAACCATGAGGTAATAGCACACATAGTATATGGATGCGGCGGCGACAACGACGACGACGACACCTCCTCTGCAAACAAGGTTTGGATGCTAAACAAATACGTACACACATACTAATAGTGGTATATACACCAAAAATGTGTGAATTATTTAATTAATTTTATTTAAAATATTCCCCTTCCAGTTGATAAAAATGGATGCCGATCTAATAAAAAAGGCCTTGTGCTTCCATGGCAAGCCCATGCAAAAGATATGGGACGACGAGAGGGGTGCCATCGATTTGCAGAGCCATGGCGTGGCGGAAGATGGCAACTACAGCATTTACATGGAAAGGCAAAAACATTTCACATTTCAGGATAGAGCCAAGCGGCTGAAATTGCATCAATTTCTGGCACGCAAGGCCGACGATCTCTACGACAAGGATCTAGGCAAAATTCCGGCTGTACCAAGGAAAATTCAACTTAATCCGGAAGACAAAAGTAAGTGTGTTGCCTACAACAATAGCAAAACTGTTTCTCGTTAAGTGATAGTACACGGTTGAGTTTTGAAATGCAAAGTGAGAGAGAAAAAAAAGCCCAAAATGTTTGTGTTTATTCCAAATTAAAAAATAATAATTCTTTGGTTGATTTTATTATTATTTGCCAAATGGTAAGCTACTGGGTTTAATCTTAGATCTTGTCGTGTTTGCTATGCTGCACTAATCATGTGTTCTGTTTCATGTTTTTCAGATAATACAGCCATTATGGTGGAACTGCCACCATATGAAACCTTTTTGCAAAAGAATCAGGATAAGGTTAAGCGCCACACACTAGAGTCGATTAAACCGGGTGACATTATTTATGCCACAATTTTAAAAGGCAAAAGTGGTTCAATAACTCCTCTAGTGGTCAAGCCTCTATGCACTGAGGAAAATAATTTCAAACTGCTTAAGGATTATAAGATAAAGGTATGTTATATTTTCAAATACGTATCCACCACTTGTTTGATGACCAAATTTGTTTGATGACTTTACTTTCCCCTATAGACCACAATACCGGCCCAGTTATGTGGACCCCAATTGTTGGATAGTGCCGGTGTCCCCATCTACATTGAAGCCCGAGATTATGTACGGTGTGAGGTGGTAGAATTTTCGGTAGATGCCGAACGCATGACCCTGAGTTTACAACCATTTTCAGACAAAAATAAAAATAAAAAATTGGGTAAAATAACCCCCAAGGAATTACCATCGTTGTATGGGTGAGTTTTGTTAAGAGTTAGCAAGAAGTTTAATCTCGTATTACCTCCTCTTTCTGCAATTAACTCAACAACGAACAGTAAACTTACGGAAAACCCACAGAGCTATGAACAATATTTGTGCACTGCTCCCGAATTGGAGAATCCTAATTATGATGTCTTGTATGCAAGTGTTGGTTTAGATGTGAATGACAATTTCACCCTGATGAATAATTTCAAAGGTGGTTTTCCTCAGCAAGAATATGCCAAAGAATTGCGGCAGTTACAGGCCAGCAAGTGGGCATTTAGGTGAGTTAAAATATGAAATTTCTTGCAAATGATTTTTATAATCAATCAATCATTTCAGATCTGTGGCCGAGGGTATTGAATATTTCAAGGTTGGCCAACATGTCGAGGCATTCCAATGTTTGAATAAAGCCCTGAACATTGATCCAAGAAATGTAGAGGGTTTGGTGGCACGTGGCGCCTTATATGCCAACAAAGGATCGTTTCTTAAAGCTGTGGAGGATTTTGAAAAAGCCCTCACTCTAAACTCACTCCATGTCAATGCCCGCAAATATATGGGTGAAACATTGGTTGCCCTAGGCCGGAGTTATGAGGAGGATAATCGTATACAAGATGCTGCCAAGGCATATCGTGATTGCTTGAATATCATACCCAATCATGAACAGGCTACATTACTGCTAGAAGCCATACAACATAGAACTGGGGCAAATGTTGATGCTGTTCCGCCGCCACCGGTTATGTTTGGAAGTTCGTATGAACAGACAGGTAAATGTTTAAATTTATCGTGGCATTTTTTAAATCTATATTCTATCTGATATTGTTTTCATGTTTGAAAACGAAGTCTGTCTGCGCGTACACAATCACATCTGAAGATTTTTTCCGGAAATCTTTTTTCCGAGTTTAAGTTTGTTTCTTTGTTCAAAGTCCTTTTAATTACAACTCAAATGTAAACAAGTCAGTTTGATTTAATATTTAATACGATTGTGAATGCCCCAAGAGTTGTTGAGTCCTCAAGGGCTCCGCAAAGGCCGTTTAATGTGATTTGGACGGTTTTCGTTTGATTCTGGAAATGAAAATAATTGTTGTGACCTTTTGTCTAAAACAGATAAAGCATCCTCGGCAAGTCAGGGCTCAGATTCCGATGATTCCTCTGATTCAGAATCCGATTCGGAGGGTAAGTAATATAAAACTATATTATTTAAAATTTACAACTGCAATGCTCATAAAACCGCATCAATTATTGTGTTTTCATTTAAGAGAGTCGCCCCACACTCTATAATAACAGTAAAAAAGCAGAATCATTGTCGCCCTTGAGCAAAAAGTTAGCACTGCATGCCCAAGAAATGCAAGCATCCAGAAAACAGGTGTTTAGCCAACCATTCTATGTCAGTCAAAGTGAGACAGTGGCCACGCCGGCTGCAGTTGTTCCCAATGAATTTAAGGTAAGTTATGCCACAAATTCCTAAAAAGCAAACTTTCGTCATAAAAAACATCCATAAAATATTTCAGCTTGATGAAGATGATACCGAGACAAGAGTACGTAAGCTTTTGCAGGATGCTTCAAAACACAAAAAAGATAAGAAAAAAAGTAAAAAATCCAAAAAGGCCAAAAAGGCAAAGAAAAGCTCCAAGGATAACAAGGACTCGGATGAGGAATATTCAAGGTAAGGAAAACCATAACTTTTTTTGAGTGTTTTCTAAACGATTCCATTTTTAGATATGAAGATCCCATGGATATACAAAGTAGAGAGCATGCTTTAAATGAAAATTTAAAACTCTATGAAAAATCCATACAACTTTTGAAAAAACGCCAACAGCTGTTGGACGAACAGCCCACAACATCCAGTGCCGGTACGAGTGCCAGCAGAAAAAGAGACAAATCTGAGTCACCGCCTCCTGCACCCTCATTTAGATCTGATAAAAATCGAAATAATGGTAAGGACTATCACACCATTGGCTTTGGTAAATTTCCAACACAAACAGCCTCAACATCTATGCAGCATCATAACTCATCGACCTCCAGGAAAGATGATAAAAAGCTTTCATTTCAAATTAAAAAGCCTGTTACCGTTGATAAATTCGGTTTGATACGTTTACGTTCCCCCTTTCAACCGGAGAAAAGTCCCACGCCGAAATCTCCATCACCTGGCCGAAGTCGTAGACGATTGTCGCCTCGGTCACGCACGCGTTCTCGTTCTAGATCACGTTCCCGTGGCTATCGACGCAGCAGTCGAAGCCGCAGTAAGGGTCGTTCAAGATCACGTCGTTGGCATTCACGTTCACGAAGTCGATCGCGTGGTGAACGTTATGCCAGTCGACGTAGACGTCGTTCCGTTTCACGTTCTCGTTCAAGTTCATATTCCGACAAACGTCGGAGAAATTCTCGTTCACGATCGCGTTCACTTTCACGGGGTCGTAGGCGTCGTTCGCCATCCCCATTGCGAGGACGAGGGCGACGTTCACCGTCATCACCCTCCCGTCGTTCGTCGTACAGGCGTTCACGATCGCCACATTATGGTCGTGGACGCGGCGGTAGTCGGGGCGGGCGTGGTGGCGGTTTCGCCCCACGTGGTAGTTATCAATCATCAAAATTTGGTAATCGTGTTTGGAAAAATCCCAATTCAAGTGATACCCCCCACACAAAAGAATTCTCCTCCTCAGATGGCCGTTGGCCACATGATAAATATGAAAATACCTCGAACAAGGGGGCTGGTGATGAGAATCCCGATGATCCTACCATTGAGGAAATTGATGAAATTATCAGTAAGGCCCAGCGTGAACGTAAACAGAATATCATCAATAATGATAAGGATATTCTTAAGAAACCAAGTAAATGGTAAATAAGAAAACAAAACAAAAAAAAAACAGAAAGAAACAAAATTATATACAGAATACAAAATAATAATTCTCTTTTTGCATTTAAAATGTAATTTAAGATACACATACATACGTATTCAATCAAAACAAAATTTCGCAATAAACCATAGAAATTTAAAAAAAAAAGTTTTTTTTTTACTTGGATTATAGGATTAATAGTGAATAGTATCAAACGGAAGAAGGAAAGCTTTACCATGGAGAAGTGGAAAAAAGACAAATAAAAAACATTATGTTCGGCCGGGCCGAACTTTTAATACCCTCCACTTTAGGGTAAAGGAGACATTAGAACCCATTAAACACAAATTTCAATTTTTAGACATATTCGTGGGAAAATGTGGCAAAAATTACAAAATATCTAATATCGGGAGGTACAGCTATATGGGGCTATACAAAAACGTGGACCTACACATACTATGTTACGCCAACGGAGGTAGAACCCATTAGGACACACAAATACAAATTTCTAGACAAATCCGCGTAGAAATGTGGCAAAAATTATTAAAATACCGAATATCTGGAGGTACCGTTATATGGGAGATATACCAAAACCTTAATTAATGAACTTCATAAAAAAATTGGGGTCTAAAATTGGATTAATTCTCTTTTAGGTATATTCCAGATCTTCCGGAATATACAGCAATTACAGATGTGGATAGGCTCTTTTGAAATGAGGTTATCTTCTTCATTCCATATCTTTATTTTTATCATGATTATGCCATATTGTAGCCATGGAGGTCCTATTAACGGTGCTTATATTAAATATTTGGAAATTATTAACATAACTTTGTACATTTTAATTAATTTCAAATTAGAAATATATTAAAAAACTATCACTCACATGTGAATTACTCCCACAAAAAAATTCACAATAGTGCCAAGTTGTCCCATCAATGTCGGTTTTCGTAACAATAAACAAACATATTCTCGTTCTCTCTCTTTCTTTCTATCATTATATCTGAGTTAATGAATGAGATAATCATTTCCACACCACACCAACTTCATTGATTCCAATAAAAAGAGTAGAGTAAACAAAACATTCACTGTGAAGTGTTATTTGCAAATTTCTTACAGTGTGTGGAGTAAAGAGAGCAAGAGCGGGAGAGAGCGCGCAAAATTCATTGTATCTTTCTCCCAAATAAACAAGTATTTGTTTTTGTGAAACCCGTCCAACGGAGACGGAGACTCCAACAAATCCAATAGGCACAAAATACCCCAACATTCTGGCAGTTGGAGAAGCAAGCACTCACGAAAAAGGGAGCAACGAATAGATTTCCAACCAAATATCGTGTCAGTAGTTTCGGTAGTGGTATTGACATTAGACGCGTAGAGTGGTTGGTTTTGGTATTTTGGGCAAAACAAAAGAAAGAAAATAAGGTTTGCGTGTTTTCATTGTTGTTTGTACTATATAAATAGAATAGAAACATGTAATTTTGAAAAAAAAAAACTAGTATTGGTAATTAGGTCGGAATTTGGGGAAAAAATATAAAATGTGGAAAATGAAAAGAAAATACCCATAGAGAGGGAAGTATGAAATAGAGCAAGTGTCATCATTTAAGTAGTACCTGGCTTTAAGCCAATATATATCAGTACTACCTTTATAGAATGTGACAAATACCTAGATACTAGTAGGTATTATATTTTAAAAGACAATATTTTGATATTCAATTTTTATCAATTTAAACAATTGGTTTTTCTGATCAAAGTTCAATTAATATTAATTTGTTGGTATCATAGATTTTTTTCACTTTTTGTATTCACATGATGTTGGTTGTGGTTTTTTATGGCTACTTCCCTGTTTGGACTTTGAACGCGTCGCTGGCTCTCTCTCTTGTTTGTCAACAAGAACAGCTTGTATTTATTTATGTTTATATGAATATGTCAAGCGCAACTGAATCGACTGGGGGAGATACTCTATAGGTGGCAATAAAATTGCGATATTTGAATTGAAAAAATCTGAAATAAATTCGCGTTGGGTTCCAACGGGCAAAACAAATGAGATTTTAATGCAAAATTCTCTACAAATGTCTAAAAATTTACCATTTTGGAAGGGGCCCAGTGTTATAAAGAGCGTAACTCAAATCGTTTTTTATATAAAAAGTTTCTGAAATTATTTTATTTTCAATACCATCCTTTGTATAGTGTCAATACCTGTACAAAATTTCATAGCTCTATTTTTATAAGTACCAGCTCTATCGTAATTTCAATGGACATAAACATGAACGGATTGAGAGAGAGCGTAGGGTCAATCGACATGGAAGTTCACGTCGATCATGAACATAGATATTTTAAGCGACTAAAATATAAAAGAACTTTTTCTTAATAAAAGCAGCAAAGAAATCTTAAAGTCGGGTGAGGCGGACTTTATGACAGCCTACACCACTTTGCATATTTAGTAGAGCTTCATATAACAAATGAAGGTTTATATCTGAAACGATTTTCACCAAATTTGACATACTTTTTTCTAGGCTCAATTTGGCCGTAACTGTCAAATTCCATCCCCTTTGGGTTGATTTTACACGTTTGGTGCACAATAAAAGGCAAATCGGACGGAGATATATACGGGAGCTATATCCAAATCTGATCGGATATGGAAAAAATTTAACAAAGGTATTTCTGAGATTTATTTGATAAATTTCCCCAATAACCGTTGTTACAGAGTGCATATTATGGTTGCGGAGGACAAAAATAACAAATCGGATGTAAAATATATATGGGAGCTATTGCTATATCTGAACCGATTTCGATCAAAATTGGCATACTTTTTTCCAAGCCTATTTTGGTCGTTTGTACAAAATTCCATTCCATTTGGGTTGATATTACACGTTTGGTGCACAATAAAAGGCAAATCGGACGGAGATATATATGGGAGATATATCTTAAATTTAACCGGTTATCTCCAATTTCGTCCCTGGTTGAATCAAATGATTTGTGCAAAATTTAATCTAATTCGGGCAATATATGCGACCTGTACTTTGTTTACAAAAATACATAGACAGGCGAACGGACATGCATATATCGACTCAGAATGTGATTTTATGTAGATCATCAAAAGAAACTATGGGCCTATCTCATTTCCTTTTGCCTGTCACAAACAAATGCACAAAGACATGATACCCCGACCACCTTGTGGTGTAGGGAATAAAAAATTAAAATTTTCAAAATAGGTCCCCGAAATGGTTTCGAATGCTTTTTTGTGAACGTTTCTGACCCCCATACATACGGTACCTTCTTATTTTCGGTATTCAGGCTCAAACTTCCAACCAAATTAACTGTAAAATGTCATTTGAGATTCTGAGTGGGTAGTTTAACAATTCGCAATAATATATTCAATGTAGATCCACTTTTTGGTATGGCCCCCATTCACAACGTCACTTCTATACTCTCGGTATTTGGAGGTTTTGCCCCCCAATTCTCCAGCCAAATCAGCTGTAATTTAATATTTCAAGTAATTTATGGTTAGATTAACTCCTCTCCAAAAATATTCAGGTATTGCCCCAATAAATTAAAATTTCAAATTAGGCCATAAAGTTCAGTTTATGAAAAGTTCAGCAAAACCCACCTTAACGCCTTTTGTATGATTTTTCTTTAAAAAGGTCTTTGTTTTATTCCCGTGAAATGTAGGCTTCCTCCTATTCTTTTATATCCCACCTCAAATAAATATTTTTACACCCACCACCATAGTATGGAGGGTATATTAAGTTTGTGATTCCGTTTGTAACACCTCGAAATATACATTTTATACCCCTCAAATTATATATATTCTTGATCAACATAAAATTCTATGTCAATTTAGCGATGTCCGTCCGTCTGTGGAAATCACTCTAGCTTCCGAACGAAATGAAGTAGGTTGATAAAATTTTACTCAAATGTGTATTATGTCTGCTGGACTTTTGGTATTGCAAATGGGTGATGTAGGTCCCCGTTTTAGTATAGCCCCCATATAATGGTACCTCTCTTTTTTCGGTATTTTCGTGATTTAAGCGACATTATTCACCGCAAATGTTTCAAATTTGGTATTTGAAGTTCGTAAGGAATACTACAGCCTAAGACAGAAAAGTGTCTGTGCAGGTTGACGTCTTCGTATAGCCCCCATATAACGGTACCTCCCGATATTCGGTATTTTGATTATTTTAGCGACATTATTCACCGGAATTGTTTCAAATTTGGTGTTTGAAGTTCGTAATGGGTACTACAGCCTATGACAGAAAACTGTCTGTACAGCTTCACGTCTTCGTATAGCCCCCATATAACGATGCCACCCGATATTCGGTATTTTAATGATTTTAGCGACATTATTCACCGGAATTTGTTCAAATTTGGTGTTTGAAGTTCGTAATGGATACCACAGCCTATGACAGAAAATTGTCTGTGCAGGTTCACGTCTTAGTATAGCCCCCATATAACGGTAACTCCGGATATTCGGTATTTTAATGATTTTAACGACATTATTCACCGGAATTGTTTCAAATTTGGTATTTGAAGTTCGTAAGGAATCCTACAGCCTAAGACAGAAAAGTGCCTGTGCAGGTTCATATTTTGGTATAGCCCCCCATATAATAGTACCTCCCTATATTGATGATTTTAGCTACATTATTAATTTTTTTTTGAGTTTCGCATTTGAATTTTGTAATGGCTTACGACAAAAGTTGCCTATGCAGGTCCACGTCGTCGTTTAGACCGTAATATAACAGATACATTTGGTATTTTTAAGATTTTAACAGAATATTTATCGGATTTTATTTTATTTTTTTTTTTTTTTTTGAAAATTGCCAAATTCGTTCGGCCGAACTTGTTCTTTATAAAATGTCTTTGCGTTATTCCGTAAAATGTAGGCTTCTTCCTATTCGTTTATATCCCACCTCGAAAAATAATTTTATTATTGTTTTTATTTTCAAAACTCTCGTGATATAAATCTTTTCCATGCTTTTTTGTTTTCGAACCACAAACAAAATAAAAAATTGAAATTTGTCGGTGAGGGGAGGGGCTGAAACATCACCTTAATACCTTATCAGAAGTAGAGAATGAACAAGCACCAATAGTGCAAATTTCATATGGCACTATCTGAAAGCAAGCCCTACCTCTGCCAGGCTTTTATAGTATATGCCATACGAAA